GATATCGGCTATAAAAATATACAACAAAATAATAGAAGTTTGTTTAAAAACAGTGATGTAACTTTGACCTGACCTTGACGACGCGATCCTCCGTCAAACTGTTAACGTCACTAAATACATCACTTTATACCCTGCACCTTTTGTCTCAAACATTTTTCTCAAAAATACATACTTTCCGAGAAACTCAGGTGGTCCGAAACATATGGAATATTCTGTATATTACATTAGTAGTGTATTTATAAATATATTTTTTTTATAATAATGTATATTTAAATTACAATAAAAATGTTTATTATTTTGCATAATCTCCTTATATGATCTGTTTTTCATTCTTTTACTACTTGTGTATATAATATATACATATATACATAACATATACATGTATATATATTTTATAATAATGTATATGCATAATCTTGTATATGATCCGTTTATTATTTTGTTTTAATTGTTTATATTTATAATATATATTCATATACAGTGAAGAGCATAACTGTATCAATAACACAGATTTCGTGTAAATGTATTTTGTATTGCTAATAACATTAATGCATTCAAAAAATAAACATAACAGAAATTTTTTGGTTAATTAAAAATGGCTGGAACGAGTTTTTAAAGTTGTAACAGTTTTTCTTTTTGGCTGTAACATATTCGCTGATACAATTTTGCACTACGTTTTTACTCATAAAATTTGTTTAATAATTTCTATTATTTAGTTCATAATTCTTAAGCTTTTAAAATTGCTGCAATTAGTCCAGTCAATAGAGAAAAAATGATGAAAAAATGTTTAATCGAATTCCGATTACATTACCTTGTAGTCTGCGATTCACTGATGAATCCTTGTCACCATTGTCATTATTGTACACAGTTAGAAACTGTGTATCGATCAACTTTTGTAGTGGCTATTTTTAATGATTTGTAATACATTGAAAACAATTATAATTTTCTGAAGTTACGTAATCGCATACCATAAAAGTATATGATTTTTGGTAATCTTATAAATCAAAACAAAAACAAACAATATAAACCAAAAATAAGTTTAGTATTTATATATTTTTTCTCTACAAAACCTGGTTTATGACGACGAGATCCGAACATGATAGAATTTTATATATTAAAAAAAATTTTCAATATCTTCGAACAGAAGACACGGACAAAAACAACACATAAACACCGGTTACTTTAGTTTTTTAATTCGAATAAATTAAGACTAAAACGAAATCAATTAGTTCAGACGTTAATTAGATATAAATATTTAGGTATACACAATGCCTGTCAAAACCTGATTTTCGCGTAAAACACGAGCACGTCGCGCAGATCGTGCGCCACTTCGTTGCGCGTAAATTTAGCGCGAAACACTACCGCATAAGTCATTGCGCATAATCAAGAGACAAGGTAGTTCCTCGCGCTAAGTTCACGCACAACGAATTGGCTCTTGATTATGCGCAATGACTTTCCTGATAATTTGAATTGAACAAGTTCAATATTTAAATTATTATTGTTATTAGTGATTGTTATACGAATCGGATTGCTGACAAAAAACGGCATGCGCTAGTCGAAAGGAAGCTTTCTTCTCGACTTGTCACTACAGTTTATTTTTATCTTATTATAGTCGCAAGTATAAAAAAGCGCTCTACTTTATTTTATTATTTAGTTACTTTTTTTCTCAGTTGGAAATACTATCTTTTGCTACTGCACAAATATCAGAAAAACATAATAATGAAAAAGATAAATATTGAATTTCTAAGTTTTGTCGTATGATAGACAATTTTTACTATAAACACATTCAATTATATGTAAATTAAATACATTCGCTTATATATAAAATTAAGTTTGAGCATTGCAATGTTTTGTTTCAACTCAAAACAAAATTTCTATTATTCCTATTTGTTTATATACAAAATGCTTACTAATAATATTATTAAATGCATTATTCTATTACTGTTTTAGTTCAAACAAAAACATAATTATGAGCAGTAAAAATAAGTAAAATTCAAGTGATATCGTTTCTGAAGAAATTGTCATATATGGCATCGCTGGTAAATTTCCAGCTTCGTACAATATGAAGCAACTGCTAGAAAATTTATTTAATAAAATTGATTGTGTTACAAATCATGACCGATTCAAAACAAGTAAGTACACTTCATATACAAAAAATGTAGTCAGGGGTCACAATAGTTTACGAAAATATTATTCTATAACGTGAAATATTTTAAAGTCGTATATACAGTATTTTAACAATTTTATTCGCGTTCTGGAGTATAAATTAACTTATTACCATTATTAGAGTTTTCAAAACTTCACTCGCTTTAGACCAAAACAAAAATGTAGTGTATTGCATTGAATGTAATACCTGTGATGTGACCGATGTGGGACAGATGAAGAAAACATTATCGACAAGAATCAATGAGCACAAGAATCAGAGTAATAGAAACGTCGGTAATTTCTCAGTAATTACACAACACCGTCTTGATAGACACAATTTTAACAAGATGCAAATTTTTTGAGTTTTTTATTAAAAACTTTTAATTCTATAATTGACCGTTTTACACATACTCATTGTTTAAAGTTGATTTGTTATCTTGTAAACATCCAACACTCCCTTTTTCCTACTCCAAAACAATCAAACAAACTGTCCAAGGTGAGGCAATCAATCAAAAATTAGCAATTCGACACACTTCACAACTAATTAACAAATAAAATTTCGTACAGCGGTCCTTGGCAAAGAGAGATCTCATTCTTTCAAAATTTTTACACAAAAAAACAACCCGATGATCGAATCAAAGTTATTCGAAAAGAGTTTGAAGTGAGTTTAAGTAAATCACTTGCTAATTTCCAAACACCTAACACCAAAGCCGTACGGGCCCTAGCTTAAGAGAAGACTACTCGCACCTTAACTAAATAGAAGGCTTAACAAATATGATTATTATTACATTGGTTCTACCAATCGCGAAAACTTAATCTGGTATCAAATTAATCTTTGAAAATACACGCTATCGTCAAACCAAGTTAATTATTTCTGCAATAATTATTATTTTGTACAAAAGTTACTAAGCATTATTACCAGCAACAAATAAATTGAATTTTTCAATTTCGCATCTTTCATTTTTTCTCTGTCGACGAGATTTGATCATAGGGGCAGTCCGCGACAATAATTGCAGGAAGTAGCCGATTACGAGATCGTCACCTTTTTACCGATCGACTCTGATAAAAAAAGCAAGCCACGATTTTAATCACGGTCAGCATTCGATCAGGAGATCGCCCTTTCTCCCGGCACTCATTTTTCAGATATTACAAAATCAAATAATAACAACCTTAAAAAGTGACTCCAAACATGAATCTTAAGTACATAAACATCGTTACATAGAAAAACGTTCTAAAGAAAGAAAAAAATACATCTATTTTGTTTAAATTGAACCTCGACGCTCGCGTTCTAATCGTAAGAACTTACGGCATCGGTGCAACGAAAGGTTGCGACAAGCAGCAGCTTTCGCCCACAGAGAAGCGGAGCCAAGCAGGCCCATTATCAGCAATCACAACTACAGCGGATAATAGCTGCAGTAACAATAATGACAATGGTGACAATCTTGCAAAATGAATAGACGACATAAAAAAAACTTTTAATTTAAAAATATTTAATGCAAAAAAACTTGGCGCGAGTGCATCAAATTGCCGCACAAAGAAATAATTTCATTATAGTTGAAGAGCAGCTGCACCAAGGTTTTTTACATTTTGAATAATTTTTATATTTTTGGTGAAGAGCAGCCGCGCCAAGTTTTAAAACAAGTAAATCAAAAAAGATAAGTCGGAGGTGTTGCCAGTGCGAAACTAGCACGTCGGGATGGACTGCTCTGTGCTCACCACAATCGGAAGTATTGCCGGAGTCTGATTTTTCTGCATTTGTTTATCCATCTTCTGAATCACTTGTCTACTTCATAAATTTCTTAATTACTACGTTTTATTGTCATATAGAAATACATTTTTATATCATTTTATGTTCATATCACGTGACTACTATTGGTAATGCGTAGCATTTCCAGAATTTTCTTTCGAAAGAGAAAGATACAGAGAAAAAAAGGGTAACAATTTTGAATACTGTTTACAAACTTATATTTTATGTAAGACAGAAATAATATAAATATAAATTATATATATGTATATATATTCTATATGTATTATATATTTAATACTTAATTAAACCTTAAAGAATTAAATGTTAAAACAATTTTAAAAAATACACAATATAAGTATTTGTTATAAATTCTACAAAAAGAGTGACATCATTTCTATTAAAATGTTTTTCATTGAAGTCAAACCGTCATTTTCATTTATACTCATGTGGAAAGAGTCATATAAATACGATCGCACTACGTCTCTTGTTTACGTTTTACTCTTTCCTTTGGCAGCAATGTCAAATTTAAATTCTCAGTTGCTATTTGACTTCTCATAGCTACGTATCGGTATTCCCTTTATTACAAGACTTTTTATCATAGGTGGTAAATACTTTTACAACAAATGCAATAGATATTAAATCGGTCATAGTGTAACGTCACAAACTGTGTTTTTTATCATCGTAATGTAAAGCAGATATACAATGGCATATTCAACTGACTTGACGAGTGAAGCACCTACATGTAGTGACAAGCAGTATCAATGCGAAGTAAGATGTTTTCTTTCTACAAATATATTTATAAACAAAATATAAACCGATTTATAAGATCACAGGCATAATTATTATCTTTATTCAGATATGTAATATTTTTTTTTTAAATACCACATTTTTGTAGGAGCATTATCAAACTCATCATAGACAAAATAATACATACGTATATAGTAAGTGTGATTATACAACTAACCTTTCTCAGAATTTAAAGCATCATGCAAGAAATGACTCCGTAGTGGACTATTGCGTGGCAAGTTTTTCAAAGATATGTATGACAACAATTAATAAAATAATTTATAGCGTGTTAATCTATACTGTTTTATTGTTTAGATATGTAATAAATATTTTTATACAATTTCCGAATACAAAGATCATCAAAATGTTCATAAATTCCCGATGTCAAATATGTTTGCATGTGCTATATGTAAACAACAGAAGTTTCAAAGCTTTGGTCATCTCGTTTTCCATCACAAAACAAAGCATTCAGGTACGAGTTGCAAGGTGAGTGTATGACATATGTTTTCTCTACAAATGTATTAAAAACGAAAAAAAATAACGATTTGTAAAATCACAGATGTATATATAATTCTTCTACTTTAGATATGTGATGCCGTGTGCGAAAATAAAGCAACCTTGTTATGGCATTATACCACGTATCACAAAAAGAATAATACATATGTATGTAATAAATGTGTTTTCACATCTAGTCTTCTTTACCTCCTAAAGAAGCATGCAATATATAATCATTCTTATGTTGTTAAGTTTTGCTGGGCAAGTTTTTTAAAGATATGTAAAAAAACAATTATCAAAATAACATGTAGCGTGTTACTAATCTATAATGTTTTATTTTAAAGGCTTGTAACAACCATTTTTTTACATTGCACGAATACAAAGTTCATCAAAATGTTCATAAATCTATGACGTCAAACATGTTTAAATGTAGTATATGTAACCCCGAAAGAGAATATATTTCGTTTCATGAGTTGATCGACCATCACAAAAAACAGCATTTCAAGAAACCTTGCGACGTACGTTAAAAAAATAAAAATACATTTTATGGAGTATAGGAATAATAACAGTCTGTGTAATAACAGTAAAATTATAACAATTACATACAATTTTACATTGATCATAAACTGCTTTCTTGATATTCAAGTGTAATACGAAAAATAGTAAGATCAAAAAGTAACAGCCAAACGCTGATTGTACGTGCAAAAACGTTTTTATTGTAATACACAATGTCGAATTCATATTAGTTCCAACAAAGTATATCCAATGCTTAGATCACATTGTAAAAGCAACTTTTTTTTTTTTACATCTGAAATTTACAAACTACTTACAAGAATGTGTGTATATTAAGATAATTGCGCAGAATGCGGCTTCGAATCTTGAGTAAGATGGTTTGTTTGCACTTGATTGTTACTTATAAAAGCGGAAAATAACGTTGTTTTTATATAGGATGTATACTAAAACTGTGTTGTAAATTTTCGAATTGATTTGTTTTACAATTTGTAGTACTTTACACGTTACAAAGTATTTATAGCACGTACATTTAATATATAGTTTTTAATGATCTTATTTTTTTTTTATTATATACTTATATAAATGTTTATTACATTTTTTTGAAGATGAGTGACAATATTTACAAAGAAAAGGAGAAGTTAGACGAACATCGATCTGTGTTTTTGGAACGGTCAAATACTTATGACGAAGAGAAGATGGAGGTAGATGATCATCAAGTTGGTTATTCAGTACACCAAAATACTTATGAAGAAGATAAAGAGAAGTTAGATGAACATCAATCTGTTCAATCGGCATGGCCATATACATGTGCAATATGTGATGAAGAATATAATTTCTTTGTTTCTCACGTACTTCCCGTTCATTCAAGTGTGGCACTGCAACACGACTGTTCAATATGTACTTCTGCATATGTTAAGTTTCGGAACCGAAAATCCAACTTATCCTCTATTTGTGACAAAAAAAAGGAAGAGGATGTATAGCGACCTGTTATTATGCAATAGCCATTCGATTGTCAAATATGCTATGAACAATATGTTTACTTTTTTTCTAACGTACTTCTCTAAATGTAACTCAATAAGTACAGCAATATGTATAGGAATATAAATATAAACGTGAAAATTGATTATAGAAGTGTACAATTATCATATAGTGTAGCACATGCATGCTTATATGTAAAAAGTATTCAGAGTTTACGTACAAACTAAAATTAATATGATTTAGAAAATTTTATAAATTTTATTATTGTAACATATTCTATAATATTATATATCATCATGTAAAGTAGTATAAAA